GGGACAGAAGGTGGCCCAAAAGCCCTTTCCTCTGGGCTGGGAGCAGCGGGAGGGATGGTGACGGGGAAGCCCCTTCCTCTGGACCAGGAGGAGTGGGACGAAGGCTCAGAAGCCCCTCCCGCTGGGCTGGGAACAGTGGGACTCAGTACCTTGGTCTGGTGGTCTGGTGTCCTCTGCGTCTTTGTAGTGTAGAACCAGGTGGCTGCCTGTCTGCAGCGGGGTGATTCGGTGTCTTCCGCGCGACTCCTGGACCTTGGTAGGGCGTGCACAGACCTCCCTGTCTGCAGCGGGCTGATTCGGCATGTTCTGTGCGACTCAGGACCTCGGTAGGGCACGGGCAGACCCGCCTGTCTGCAGCGGGGTGATTAGGCGTCTTCCGCGCAACGCAGGACCTCGGTAGGGCGTGCACAGACCTGCCTGTCTGCAGCGGGCTGATTCCTGTTTTTTAGTTCTTACATTTACAGATTCATTAAAACAGTCAATGTTGCTTATTTTTATAGATGTAAGTACAAGAAATGTTGCTTGCTTGCATAGACATGTGAATGGAATGCATTTTATTATAGCAGTAACACTCAATTATTTGAATTTTTTCTGAAGTATATGCCAAAATTACATCATAATATGGTATCAAAAATTATTTTTAATGATCTGTCAGCTGACATGTCCTCTAAATTTTGTGAGAGGCAAAACATTAGAAACTATTTAACTGGCAAAATAAGTAAGATCATAGTTATTCACTTTACTCTTTCTGGAAAATATACCTTTAAAAAACAGCTTTACTAGGACTTACCTAATGATTATTTTTGTTACTCTTTCAACAAAAACTTGTACCATGTACCAAATACATTTGAAAAAGTTGGGGAAATCAAAATCCTAATAGTTTCAAGCTGGGGATTTAGCTCAGTGGCACTGTGCCTGCCTCCCAAGCGCAAAGTCCTAAATTCAATCCCCCGGCACCAAAAAAAATCCCAATAATTTCAGTATACTTTGCCAATTGATTGTTTTGACAAAATGCTTTTATTATGTGATGTGCTTTTAAATATAGTTTTGTCAAAGCTTTGTAGATATAGATTTGGTTTTTCAAATAATGGAAGCCAGGCATAAGGGCACATGCCTATAATCCCAGCACTTGGAAGGCTGAGCCAGGAGGATTGCCATGAGTTCGAGGCCAGCTTGAAGTATATACCAAGACCCTGTCTCAAAGAAAAATGGGGTGGAGGGTGACTGATATAATTAGCAAAGCCAGTTCTTTATTGTCAAACCAATCAGCCAAGTTAGATTTAGTTCCTTACATAAAAAATTCTGTCTTCATTTTTCAGTTCACATAAATTATAGTAAAACATCCCTATGACAACTTTCTCAGTTCTGAAAACAGCAAACTGAGCATAAGTTGACTCCATTTTTCATGCTACATTTTCACATGGCACCGATGTGCCACCCTGGGCCTGTAACACATCTATGTAGTACAACCTTAGTCAAGGTAGAGTAGAATCAAGAGTTGTTTTAAAAAATTCTTTATCAAGATAAAATTCACCCACCATAAAATTCACCCATTCATAGGGTACAGTTTAGCAGAATTTTTAAAAATACTTTTATAGAATTGTGCCTCTGTTCCCACAATCTAAGTTTAGACTACTTTTTGTCAAATCTCATTCTCATTAGCAGCCGCTCCACATTCCCCCCTCACCTACACCTGACTTCTTTGACTAAGGATGTTTACAAACGTCATCCATGCTGTAGGATCGATCCATAATGTGCCTCGTGAGTGCTAGGCACATGCCCTACCACTGAGCCTCTCCCCCACCCTCTGCTTGATTTTTATGGTTTAATAGTATTTTGCGGGGGTGGGGGGGCTTAGCTCAGTGGCACTGCAGCAGCCTGGAAGTGCAAGGTCCTGAGTTTAATTCCCAGTACTGCAAAATAATAATAATAATAATTTTTTTGTATAGATATCCCACATTTTATTTATCTAGTCATCAGCTGATAAGAACTATCTAATTCAATATTTGGTAATTCCCAACATCCTATTTTCCAACAGGTAAAGTAAGATTTGTTGTGTATAATAAACTCTGAGGGTCTATTTACTTTTCCACAGTAACAAGCTGTGTGAATATTGCTCTTAATTATTATTGACTCCTTTTGTGGTAGATATTTGTTGTGTCTTTGATTGGATTTATAATCTATGACTTTACTTTCTAATCTATTGAGAAGTAGAGAAATATACTTTCTGTGTATAGATTCACCTGTTCTGGATATCTTATGTAAATAGAATCAGTGGATATTGGTCTTTTATGACTACTTTATTTAATATAATGTCTTGAAGATTTGTTACTGAATAATATTCCATTGTATAGGCATGTCACATTCTCATTATTCATTGGCTGATATGGATATTAAGATCTTTTCAATTCTTTTGACTATAGGAATGGAATTGTGCAGTAACTCTGTTCACTTTATTTTTTATTTTATTTTTCTCTTTTTCTTTTTTGCTGGGGATTGAGACCAGGGCCTTCTGCTTGTTAGGCAGGTGCTCTGACCCTGAACTCCGTGCCCAGCCCATTTCACCTTTTAAAGAATCGCCATGTTGTGTAGCTGCACCATTTACATTATTCCCACCAGCAGTGTAAGCCTTCCCAATGATTGTTTTGGTTTTTCTTTTTGACCCAAAGCTTTTTTTAAAAATTACAAAAAATAGGTAAAGCACTTTTCTGAAATTAAAAAGTGGTTTAAAATGGGAGGAGGGTAAGCCCATGCTCATGCACAGCCATTGGAGCATTCTCACATTCAACATTGCCAGTCTGCTCAAATAAATGTCAAGATTTTCTTCATCATTTCTATCCTAAGCAGCTGTTTTTATGCTATAATTTTATCAGGCTGCAGTTCCCTTTGCCATAGCAATGATTTTAATTAATTCCTTAAATGAGCAGAGTCATCCTTGGAGGGGCTGGGGCTGGAGTATCCCCAGCACCAGAAGAAGACTCCGTGGCTGTATCAGCTTTTATCTATCACCTTTTTTGCTACAATTTGCTCCACGTTACTCTACCATTTGAAGCATTGTGTTTTATACTTACAAATGATATCATAAGATCTGGTTTTGAAGCTCTGATTCAATAGTGGTCCCACAAGTCTCAAAGTAAAACATTCTGTGATCATAGTCAAGGATGAAACAAGATTTTAAGTGGAAAATCATCTTCATTTTCACTGCTTTAGTCTCAATATAACTGAAATCAGAATTCCCAATAAGGGCCAGAATACTTTGTTCCCAGTATTATTCTTCAGCCTTGACAGAAATAGGTAAAACAGGTAAAGACATGAAACCCTACCTGGAATTTCTGATGTTTTGAATAAAGAAAGTTTCACATACATCCATACTATATTTCAAATTGTTTTGTTTGATCTGGAGGTTTTTATATTGTAGAACAAAGCATGATAGTGAAATTCAGAATGGGTGAAAATTGGGGTTTGTTTGTCTGCATTTAGAATTCAAGAGGACAATTGTAAAAAAGGAAGAATAGGAAAAAAGCACCCAGCAGGGTGTCTAGGCCACAGGAGCATTCTCACATCAGCTTAAGGAAAAAGTACATGTGAAAACTGAGACTGGATTCGTGAAAATGATCTGTACATGCACCCTTAGAAAGTCTTTGTGAATTCCTAGAGCAGTGGTAGCAAATCTATGACACATGTGCCACAGTGGGCTGTTTGTATCATTGAAAGTTCTAAAAGATTCACCATTACTGCCCTAGGGGAATGCATACCTCAGTTTTAGAACACTGGTCTAAAAAGATGTTGAAATGTGGTTCACAGTTCTGAGAACACGTCTAAGCTGAGGACAGCAGTTGGGCTCATGGATGTGATATGTGGTGAAGTTTAAGTTAGTGCGAGTGCTGAAGGAGGCAGTGGAGAAGAGGGGAGAGCCAGGCACTTGGGCTTGATTCACACTTAATGAGTAAACCCAGGAAGAAGAGATGGAGAGAGATGTGAGGGGAAAACCCCCACAAGAGTGTCAAGTCTGAGAGCAAATAGAGGGTCCTCAGTCAGGCCTCTCAGCCACATAAACTGGGACAGAATAAGATTTGAAAAACAACTACTTTGGATGCCACACAGTGGGAAGATTCCTGCTGCCGGTTGCACAGGCAACCCTAGCCTGGATTTAGATCCAGAGACATAATTCTGGAGGCTGAGATGAGATCAAGGTGCCAACAGATCCCATCACTGTTGAGCTCCCTCTTCCTGTTTTGTAGATGGCGGTCTTCCTCCTGTAGCCACACAAGTGGGACCAGCCAGCAAGGTCGCTTTTATAAAGACACTAATCTCATTCATGACTTCACCTTCAGGACCTAATCACCTCCCAAAGGGCCCACCTCCTAATGCAGTGCCAGTGCGGGTTAGGATTTCGAGGACATGTTCAGTTTATAATAATGGCTATTGCTGTACATTCTCATAATAACTACATCTTATGTTTGGGTCTCCTTCTAGGTTTAGCATGAGCTTTAACAGACATAATCTGAAATACTATGTATTACCAAAAAAGCCTAAAAAGGTGGCATTTGATTGCTTAGAATGGATCAGAAAGCATCACCCATGTGAGTATAACCATGTGATGAATATGTGTAAAAGTAATAGATAAAATGTCTGTCTAGCACCACAATAGAATTTATGCATATTAGGAAATTTTTTTTGTATTATGATAGCACCAAATTGCTATTTATAGAATAGAATATTGTAACTCTGTCAACTCTGGAAATTATAAAATCTCATTTGGTTAGATAACAATAAGCCCTAACAAAAAATATATTAAATACTCCCTCCTACACATCCATATTATAATTCTTGGTTTCAGTGTCTTTCCTCTGGTTTTTATCAGTTCATGAATAATTCAGCCCTTTGTTTTAGTAGCTTTTCCCAAGTGTGTTTGCCTTTGAGTTTTATTAACTAAAGTGAGAGTCTGATGTTCATAGCAGTTTTCCATGTATCCTCTTTTCTACATCTTGAGCATATTCCCATGTCTTTTATAAACTTAGAAAACCCTTTTAATAGTTATAGTATATTTTATTTCACAGTTTTCTGTTTTGACTGTTTCCATACTGTGCCATTAAAATCTTTCTAATTTTTAAAATTAGAAAGAAAACTTGGCAAAAGTCCTTATACCACTTTATTGCCCAGATTAGTTTCTTAGGAAGAAACTGAGTCAAAAGATATTTCCAAAGTTCTTGATAAGTATTGCCATATGTTCTCAAAAAAGTGTGACTAAGGGTGACTTCTCATTTTGGAGCCAATGTGACATACAGCCCAGGATCTGTTCAGGTCCAGTTCATGAATCATTCTCATTTCCAGTGCATGAATTCCTTGCTGGAATTATTCTGTGTGATCATCTTATTAAAAGAGCACTATAGAGATCTATTTGTGGTTCATATATTTCTAAGAATATAATGTAAAGCTGGGTATTAATAAAATGTAAAGCTGGCGCATATCTGTATTCTTAGCACCCAGGAAGCTGAGGCAGGATTGCTGTGAGTTCAAGGCCAGCCTGAACTATGAGACCCTGAGCTCAAACTCCTCCTTCTAAAAGAACGTAATGTAAACTATATTGTTATTTATGTTAAAAGTTCTTGTTTTTCAATACTGTTTTGATCTCTTGGCAGATGACTCCGGGATCATTTATTGCCTCTCCAGGCGGGAGTGTGACACGATGGCTGACACGCTGCAGAAAGACGGGCTCGCTGCTCTGGCTTATCACGCCGGCCTCAGTGATGCTGCCAGAGATGAAGTGCAGCACAAATGGATCAACCAGGACGGCTGCCAGGTAACGTGTCTTAACTTAAAAGTAGCAAGCATCAAAATAAGACTGAAATTGTGTCCATGATGTAGTAAATAACATGGGAATGTTAGGGGAGGAGAAAGGCAAAAATTGAGGGAGGAAAAATTGAAATGTTTACTGGCAATAGGAAGTAGCTTTTCCTTGCCAGGGGTTTAGCTCAGTGGTTCCGCCACCTGCCTCGCAAACAAAAAGTCCCAAGTTTGATCCCCGGTACCAAAAAAACTAAATAAATAAATAAGGAAGTAGAGGTTTAAGCTAAGAATAGTAAGTGTGCCCAAGGCAGACAGCAGGATAGTTAAAACCATTATAGCAGTCACATGTAGTGTAAAGAGATCGATGGCATACATGAACAAAAAGCAGGAGGCCGTCTGCAGAGGCTGAGGAAGGATGACTGGGACTGAAGAATCTCACACCCAGCTCGCTGTTAGTGATGGTGAATCAACAAAGGCCTTTTTAAATATGCACTGATGTATAGTCACTGAACCAGGTTCCGTCTTTCTAAATTAATTCATGTATTTAATCAAAATTAAAATGGTTTTTCCTTTGACAAACTTTTTCAAAAGTTTGCCTGAAAGAATGTTCAAGTAAAAATAACCAAGAATTTGGCAAAAAAAATAATAATAACACATGGTTTGCAGTATATTGTATATAGATCAAAGGAACAGAAGTTCAGAAAGAGACTAGAAAACTTGTAAAAACAATAAATGATATGGAAGGCATTAAAAATTAATGAAGAAGAAAATTACTCAGCTAGTGGCACAGGTTACTTGGTGAGGGTAATCATTTTAGATTTTCTTATTAAAATAAACTACAGATAAATAAATGTAGTTATTTTACAATGTATAAACTGAATAGAGAAGAACCTAAGCTTAAAAATAGCTCAGGAGAAAGTAATTGCTACAGATTATTTAATGCTAAGTACTTCTATGTCAATAAATACAATTAAGAGGCCAGCAACAAACTAGGAATGTATTTTCAACACTTAAAACATAAGCACTCGTAAAATTTTTGTTGTTGCCCTAGGGATTGAACTCAGGGTCTTTGTGCTGAGCTGCATTCCCAGCCCTTGTTTTATTTAGAGACAGGGTTCACTAAGTTGCCTAGGTTGGGTTTGAACTTTGGATCCTTCTGCCTCAGCTTTACAGTGCTGGGATTATGGATGTGCACCACCACATCCTGCTAACCTTATAAAATTTTGATAAGAAAAACATGTTTCAAATAGTAAATGAGCCTAGGCTATAAACACATCACTCAAAAGTAAGAAATACTTGTACAGAGGCCTAAGTACAAATGTGTTTTAAAAGTTCTTTGCGGGCCGGGGATTTAGCTCAGTGGTTTCACTGCCTGCTGCGCAAGCGCAAGGACCCGAGTTCGATCTCCGGTACCAAAAAAAAAAAAAAAGTTCTTTGCAAGCCATCTTGATGGCACATGTCTGTAATCCCAGCACTCAAGAGGCTGAGGCAGGAGGATTGCTACAAGCTCAAAGTAAAGCTGGACTACTTAATGAGTTCAAGGCTGGCCCGAACTATGTAGTAAGACCCTGTCTCAGGAAAAAAAAAAAAGTTCAACTCTGCTCATTACTGAAATTCAAATTTTAAAACCGAGCATATTTTCCTAGAATTAGCAAACTTGTGCTTAGTTTTTGGTAGCAGTACTATGAGACACCTCTGTGCTGTGCTCACAAGATCCTCTTTGGGAAACCATACACAGGTTGTGTCCACCAGGGTCCCATTTTGAAATATGGGTATGGAAATCACATCAGTGGGTTTTGTTTTTGTTTTGTTTTTTGTTTTCTACATACTGGGGAATTGAACTCAGGCCCTTTACACTGAGCTACATCCCCAGCCCTTTTTTTCTTTTAAGACAAGGGCTCAGGGCCGAGGATTTAGCTCAGTGGTTTTGGCTGCTGCACAAGCACAAGGGCCCAAGTTCGATCCCTGGTACCAAAACAAAAAACAAAAAACACAAGGCCTCATAGGTAACTAATGGAGGTCTAACATTCAAATAATAGAAGTTCCAGGAAGAAGGCCAGGCATGGTGATATACGCCTGTAATCCCAGCATTCAGGAGGCTGAGATGGGAGGATCACTGTGAGTTCAAGGCCAGCCTGAACTACATAGCAAAACCCTGTCTCCAAAAAAAAGAAAGACAGGGCCTCACTAAGTTGCCCAGGCTAGGCTGGAACTTGAAATCTTCCTGTCTCAGCCCCCCAGGTAGCTGGGATTACAGCTACCTGTGTGCCATGACACCTGACTCCAGCAGGAAATTTTTTAAGATGTATAGATGAGAAAGACAGCAAATAAGAGAATTCAGAAGTACAAAAATCTCTGGCTAAGGGTATACTTCAGTGGTAGAGCACTTACTTAGCATGTGGAAGGAAGGCCCTGGGTTTGATCCCCAGTACAGCAAAAAATAAAACCAAGAGAAGACAGAAGTACAAAATCTCAACCATTACAAAAAGAAAACTGATGGGCCAGGGATTTAGCTCAGTGGTTCCGGCGCCTGCCTTGCAAACTCAAGGTCCCGAGTTTGATCCTTGGTACAAAGAAAAAAGAAAGAAAAAAGAAAAGAAAATGCCCACTATGCAGAAGTAAGAGTGATTATTCCTAATCATGTAGTTAAGGATAATTTTTTTCAAGTTCTTTACATCTATGTTAGTATAAGTATTCTATAATGAAAATATATACTTTTTTTGATACCGGAGATTGAACTCGGGTCCTTGTACTTGCACAACAGGCAGCGAAACCACCGAGCTAAATCCCCGGCCCAAAAATATATTTTTATAATGAAAATATATATATGACCAGGCCCAGTGGTACATGCCTGTAATTGTGACACTCTAGGAGGCTGAGGCAGGAGGATAGCCAAGTTCAAGTCCAGCCTGTGCAACTTAATGACTTGGCAAGACTCTGTCTCAAAATTTTAAAAAGGGCTGGAGATGCAGCTCAGTGCAAAGATTCAAACCCCAGTACTAGAGGGGGAGAAAAAGTTTCAAAAATTAGTAAGGTCTAAATTTTTCTCCCCTTAGCCTAGCTAATCCTTACAGTCAAGATATAATGTAAGCTTATACCACCTGGACAGCTTTGATCTTGTTAAAGTCATGAGATTAAAACTTGATTATCTCGATTCATAAAAAATGTTGCTGGGAAAAGGTCTAGGGATTTAGCTCAGTGGTTCTGCCGCCTGCCTCGCAAGAGCAAGGACCTGAGTTCGATCCCCAGTACCAAAAGTGATGCTGGGCCAGGGATTTAGCTCAGTGGTTCCGCTACCTGCCTTGCAAAGTCCCGAGTTTGATCCCCGGTACCAAAAAATAAAAATAGCTCAACAAAGTCACTTTTCCCAGTTAAAGAAGTCAAAGCTTTTATTTATTTATTTTTGTACTGGGGATCGAACTAGGGACCTTGCACTTGCGAGGCAGGCGCCGGAACCACTGAGCTAAATCCCTGCCCCAGTCAAAGCTTTTAGAAAGGGCTGGCATCATTGCATCCTCATGCTGCACCTGCAGGCCCTGCCTCACAGCTGCTTGCCCACCAGTGGGGAGGTCACCACTCTCAGAGGCCCCTGACACAACTCCCATTCAGCCTCCCACCACTGGAAGCAACAGTAGGCTTTCTTTCCTAGGAGCTCTCCTTTGATCAAAGTGCCGTAAGTTTGGGTGGACGACTCATCGAGAGTATGGGCCAGTGCCTTCTTGGTGTTGATAAATGTACCCATTTGCTGTTTGCATGCCCTGTAGCTTGCAGTTCCTCGCTGGTACTCACACTACTGAAATGTCATGTATCCTCAGTCTAGCCACATGATATTTCCGTTGCTTTTGAAATACTATTCTTGCAATAGCAATTGATTTTTTTAAGTGCTAAAAAAAGACTTGCAGCTTTATTTGTATAATGTAATTTTGCCTGTAGATTCAGCATTTTGGTCTGGGTTAAATAGGTCTTAAATTGGCAACTGAAATGGATTTTCTTAAAAACTATTTGTCTGGCCCCTGAAATGTGACTGTCACCTTGCTTCACTAAGTAATTTGCTTAGGTCAAGATCCATAGTCCCTGACCTTGTTTTTCTTTTCTCTTTTTCTTTTTTTTGGGGGGGTACTGGGGATCGAACTTGGGTCCTTGCACTTGCGAGGCAGTCAGTGGAACCACTGAGCTAAATCCCCGACCTCTATTTTTCTTTTTAATATAAGCTGCTCTCAGACTTTTATCCATATATGTTTCAACTAAAATTTCACAAGTTGACTTTGAAATCAGCTGCTGGCTAAAAGAAGGTGGGGTATGAAGAGCCAGTGGTCAGCGCTGGAGCAGGTGAGGATGCCATTGTTGCCTTCTGCTCTCCTGAGCCATCAGAGGAGCGAGCAGCAGTCGACTCCCCAGAGCTCCTGAGCAGTACATTGCTATGGACAGCGACCAGGATGGCATCATGGCCATGTGAGCAACACCATAACACCTCCATAACAGAAGCAGGGGACAGACACCTGGGGCACATGACGGGCCAACTACAGTGGCTTCGCACTCCCTCCTGCAGGAACACCATGCTTGTCACTGGCTGCTCTCTACCTCCTGGGGTCACAATAGAGTTGCAAGTCATCAATATGAAAATCTCATCTTAGTATGCAAGTCAAGATATTCAAGTACATTTTAAAGTAAAATAAGGAATAGGGCTGCTAGAAGCATCGATTATTAAAATGTTCCTTTAAATGCATTGACTCTAATAGCTTTTGCTTTCACATCAGGTTATCTGCGCGACAATTGCATTTGGAATGGGGATTGACAAACCTGATGTGCGATTTGTGATTCACGCCTCTCTCCCTAAATCCGTGGAAGGTTACTACCAAGAATCCGGCAGAGCTGGAAGAGATGGAGAAATATCTCACTGCCTGCTTTTCTATACTTACCATGATGTGACTAGACTGAAGAGACTGATAATGAGTAAGGCGAGCTCTGCTGGGGACATTCTGTCATTTTCAGTCCTGAGAGATTAATCTACTCTTGCTATTGTGGTACTTTGAGTCCGGTTTTCTTTAAATAGTAATAAAAAAGTAAATGTTTAAACCAGGCGCACGATGTATACCTATAATCCCAAGTGCTCAGGATCACAAGTTCAGGGCCAGCCTGAGCAATTTAGCGAGACCCTGTCTCAAAAAATAAAAAGGGCTGGGGATCTGGGCCGGGGATTTAGCTGAGTGGTTTCACCACCTGCTGCTCAAGCGGAAGGACCCAAGTTCAATCCCCGGTACCCCCCCAAAAAAAGGACTGGGGATGCAGCCCAATGCTAAACCACTTCGGGGCGGGGGGGGGAGTATAAATTGGAATTATATTTTAGTTCATTTTTATTATAAAAGCAGTACATGTGTGTATGTAAACTCCAAGTGATGCAGACATATACAAGGCAAAAAATTTCCAAATCATCCCATATAGTTTTGTTCCAAGAAATAACTCCAGTAATTGGATTCCTTTGTGTCTTTCAGACTCAATTTTCTCAAGCATCCTTGCACATAACACATATTCCAAAGAAAGATTAAAAGAGGGAAAATAATGAACTCTTATGTACCACCATGAAGAAATAAAACAAAATTGGGTGCAGTGGTGTGTGCTTTTAGTTACCACTGCTGGGAAGGCTGAATCAGGAAGATGGTTTGAGCCCAAGAAGTGAGGAGTTAAACATGCAGCGGCCTGGGCAACATAGTGAGACTCTGTCTCGAAAAAAAGAGAAGATACAACCAACAGAGCTGAAGCCCCATGTATATCCCAGTTCTCTCTCGTCCCTCTTCTTCCCCATTAGAGGCGAGCAACATCTTGCATTTGGTGTTTACCTTTCCCAAGTGCATGTATTTTAAAATGTAAATGGGAAAATGGGATTATATTTTTGGAATTACTGTTTTCTAACCCATTTATCCCAAAGGTTGCAACTTTTTGAATTTTTACATGAAGTTCATGTTTTACCTAGAAAAATTGAAGGAACAAGAATTTGAAGAGAAAAAAATTTTGATGTGCCATTCCAAAAATAGAATGCTAGGCATAAAAGGATTAAACCAGTCCCCTCTTAGTAGATATTTAGATTACATTTGTCGAAAATGTAAACAACCTTGTGCAGATGTTTTTGAGCATTTGTGCAATGTTGTTCTTTCTGTTGCTGTTGCTGCTGCTATTAGCAGAGCTGGGGATTGAACCCAGTGGCTTTGTACTGGGCTACATCCCAGCTCTTTTTTTATCTTTTATTCTGAGACAGGGTCTCACTCAGTTGCTGTTGCCCGCTCTGGGCTTGAATTTGCAGTCCTCTTGCCTCAGCCTTTGAGAAAGCTGGAATTATAGGCATGTGCCTCCATGCCCAACTGGTGTTTGTTATGTATATAGGTTATGTTTCTAGACTTAGACTTACTGGGTCAAAGTGAATCATATTTTAGAATTTTATTATATCTTTTGCCCATTTTTCTACTCCATGGTGATAGTTAAATATATTTCCTAAATACGTTTCTCTATTTTGAGACCACTCTCTCATGAACTCTGGCAGAGATGCTGAGCGTGGCAAGTGGCACTTACCAAGCACAGTGCCAAACCCTGAATGTATCATCTTATTGCCCTGTTTATCCATAACAACCAGCTTGTGAGACAGAATTAGTCCTGTGAGAAACGCAAGCTTCAGACTGATTTTGTAACTGACTTGTCCCCAAATCCGTAAGGGAGTAGCAACAGGAATAGTGGGAGTAGTGGCCCTGGTACTGGACTGGTAATTATCATAGGTAATATTTCATTAGCACTTAACCATATGCTGTTTTAAATGCTTTATACATATCAACTTATGTTATCTTCACACAACCCTAAAGGATAAAACTTTATTACAATGCTGTGTGCGGTGGCACCTGCCTGTATTCCCCAATATTTGGGAGACTGATGCAGGTTGATCTCAAGTTTGAGACTAGCCCAGGCAACTTAGCAAGACCCTGCCAGGGATTTAGCTCAGTGGCTTTGGCGCCTGCTGCGCAAGCTCAAGGACCCGAGTTCGATCCCTGGTAACAAGAAAAAAACTTAGCAAGATCCTGTCTCAAAATTTTTAAAAGGGCTGGGGATTTAGCTTAGTGGTTCCGGCGCCTGTCTCACAAGCGCAAGATCCTGAGTTCGATCCCCAGTACCAAAAAAAAAAATTTTTTTTTAAGGCCTGGGGATGTAGCTCAGTGGTGGGTCATCTTGTATTTAATTGTTTCCAGAGGAGAAAAATGAGATCCAGAGCTAGTAAGTGGCAAAGCCAAATGGAACCCAGGTTAATTTGACTCTAGAGCCCATGATTCTTAAACTGTGCAAAAACAATTCTCAGCAAATTTTTTTAAAAAATAGAGTGTTGGGCCGGGGATTTAGCTCAGTGGTTCTGGCGCCTGCCTTGCAAGCGCAAGGTCCCGAGTTCGATCCCTGGTACCAAAAAAAAAAAAATAGAGTGTTTATGATTTGCTTTCCCATTTGTGTTTTTAAGCAAATCTTACGTATTCCCCCAGTTGTGATGGTTTTTCACTGATGATTTTTGGACTTTACAATGATGTAAAAGCTATCTACAGTCAGTGGAAACTGTACCAGGAATTTTTAATTTTGATGTTTTCCTGAGCTAGTGGTGTGCAGTCCAGTCCTCTCACAGTGCTGGGCAGCAGCCACACTCAACGGGTGTACAGCCAATGTTCTATACAGTGTTGTTGCTAGGCTAGCGTGCATAGGATGTTAGTTAGGCATATTAAATGCATTTTTCAACATACAGTACATTTATCAAGATGCGGCTCCATCATAAGTCAAGGGGCGTTTGTATAAGTCCAATAATCTAATAAGTGCTTAACTCCTCAGAACCTAGCAACCATTTCAAAAAACTAATATTCATGAACTGGAAAATTTTTGAGACAGTTTTGTTGTGTAGTATAGGCTGGTCTTGACTTCACTGTGTAGCCCAGGTTAGCCTCAAACTCATGGTGATACTCCTGCCTCAGCCTCCTGAGTGCTGAGATAACAGGTGTGAGCCACCACACCCAGCTACTTTATTCTTAAATAGCCATGATTGTTTATTGATAGAAAGTGTGCATCTGCAGTTTTTAAACCTTGGAATCAAATCAGACATGGCCACTTTAATTTTATTTCACATACATTTTCTTGAGGTACTTGTTTTTAATCATAGCAACTGCCAAACTTTCAGCTTTACAAAGAGAGAGTATTATTGAAGAAACAGTATACACAGTCTAATGTTAAAACCATGAACTACCTCAGACAGTTTGTGTGGTATTCAGCAATGTCAGGTATTGCTGATTCCCTAAATTTAAACTATTTCTGTGAGGTCACTGCAGCAATTCACGTTTCTTGGCATGCAGGTTGGTTGGTTGGTTGGTCAGTTGGTCAGTCGGTTGGTTAGTTTTCTGTTCAGTGCTGGGGACTAAACCTGGAGCTTTGTGTATCCTAGGCAAGTGCTCTGCCACTGATTGTACTCCCAGCTCCTGGCACACAGTTTTGAAAGCACTGGCTTAACTGTCTTGACCTTAGATGTGCAGAAACATGGACAGTGTACTGCCATAGTTCCAGGCCCTAGCTATTGAATATTCAGTTCAGTATATATTTACCTGATAAATATAAGAAAGATCACTAGGGCTAATGAAAATTTGGGAAAAAATTTAAATTTAGGTGCTAAGATGTAGCATAGTGGGAGAGCTTGTGCTTAGCTTACCCAAGGCCTTGGGTTCTCTCTCCAGCGTCCAAAAAAAAAAATTCCAATTTGCAAAATTCTAATATTTATTCCTGTAAAACAAAACTCTTTTCTCAATGCAAAAATGGACATCTGAAATTTAAAACAAAACAAACAAAAACTTGTCGGGTGAAGAATTAGAAAGATCAAATAAATTTATGAAAAAATGTTCAACATCACTGGCCATTCATGAAATGCAAATTAAAACAACACTGAGATTCCATCTCACTCTAGAAAGAATGGCCAATATCAAGGAATCAACCAGTAACAAATGCTGGAGGAACTGTGGGGGAAAAGGAATCCTGCTCCACTGCTGGTGGGAGTATAGACTGGTGCAACCACTGTGGAAATCAGTGCGGGGATTTCTCAAGAAACTAAAACTACAGGTTCCATTTGACCCAGATATACCTCTTCTTAGTATCTTCCTGAAAGAATTAAAAGCATCATACCACACCCATATATGCACACCCATGTTTATTATAGTGGCACAGTTTGTAATGGCTAAATCTTGGAAGCAGCTCAAGTGCCCATCAACAGACAAGCGGATAAAGATGATGTGGGTTTTTTTATACAATGGAATACTACTCTGCAATAAAGAAGGTTGAGCTTCAGACATTTATAGCTAAATGGATGGACCTTGGGACTGTAGTGATTTTTTTGGTACCAGAGATCGAACTCAGGACCTTGCTCTTGGAAGGCAGGCACCAGAACCGCTAAGCTAAATCCCTGGCCCAAGACCGTATTCTTGAGTGAGATAAATCAGGCACACATGTTTAAGTACCGCATTGTTTCTCTGGAGTGAGAAACCAAAGTGGAAATAAGGACTGAAATGTATGATGGATGTTGGTAAATAGAAAGTGTTCAAATGGGAAGGGGAGTGAGGGAGGAGGGAGGGAGAAAGGAAGGAAGGGACAAGAAAAAAGTGAAAATAGAAGGAAAAAATGGAAAGATTTTATACATAGGGAGGGGAGAGGGCTTGGGGGGGTGGGATAAAATAAAATTTATTTTAAAAAGTCTTGAGGGGTGAACATAAATACCCAGTGAATTACAATATAATATGATGTTATATTGATCTATGGTGTTAACAGTAATTTTCATATTTGATAAAGTTCTGTGAAAGCTGGACATGTTGGTGCACACCAGACAGAAGGATTGACAATTCAAAGTCACCCTGGGCAAGAATAAGACTCTGTCTCAAAATCAAAAAGACTTAGGGATATGGCTTAGGGATAGAGTGCCCCTTGGGTTCAATCTCCAGTGCCACAAAAAATAATAATTATAATAATAATAGAGTTCTGTGAATCTATTCTAAATATTTATCTGTGATAATCTCTCATTTTCTACTGTAGTAAGAATATTTTACTATGTTCTTCATCTCTTGCAGTGGAAAAAGATGGGAACCATCATACAAAAGAGACTCACTTCAATAATTTGTATAGCATGGTACATTACTGTGAAAATATAACAGAATGCAGGAGAATACAGCTTTTGGCTTACTTTGGTGAAAATGGATTTAACCCCGAGTTTTGTAGCCAACACGCTGATGTTTCTTGTGATAATTGCTGTAAAACAAAGGTAATACAAGAAATTTTAAAATCCTTTTATAGTTAAGGGAATCACCAACCTATTTCTTCCTTCTCTTAATTAAAAAAAATAGATACAAGGTAGATTTCCCCCATGTGGTCCTCAAGAGACTAAACAAGGGAAAGGGGTCTTCTTCCCTATCATAATTTGGAATAGAAACATTTATAAAGTATTGTGTGGAATATCTTTTCTTTAGTATTAGAAGGCTATAAAAAATATATTGGGCATCCACATGTCCAAAATACTGAGATTACATATGTGCACTAATGGTTGTAAGTTATTTTAGAAATATCACTAATGTATAAACATCCAAAAAGATCTAACATAGGCAGGTAGAATTTTTTTTTTTTTTTTTTTTTTTTTGGTACCGGGGATCAAACTTGGGTCCTTGCACTTGCGCAGCACGTGGCAAAACCACTGAGCTAAATCCCCGGCTGACAGGTAGAATATTTTAAATACAACAACAACCTGTGTTTAAAGGTCTCATTCTCAAAAGAAGAATAATGTATACTTTTTGAATTCAAATCATTTTAACTACTCCTATAAATACCCTACTACTAACACTACATTATCTACTGCTATACTATACTACTATACTATACTGTACTGTGCTGTACTGTACTGTACTATACTACACAATACTACTACATCTTCTATACTATCCTACTACAAACTATAAATAATCATGGCAGTAGCTTCGGGTGAATTTACTATTGTAAGACTCTTAAATTCACACAAGAACTTGGTGTGGCTTTTCAGAATCATGAGCACTTTTGAGTACTGCCAGGATAAAGAAATGGGGTAAATGAAGGCACAAAAGTCATCTAGTAATGGGGACTTTAAAAAGTGGGCAGGGGCCGGGGATTTAGCTCAGTGGTGCTGCTGCCTGCATCACAAGCTCAAGGTCCTGAGTTTGATCCCCGGTACAAAAAAAAAAAGTGGGCAAAGTTTGGGATACAGCAGAGGAAAGAAAATGAGAAAGGAAACTAGTGGGAGATGATTAAAAAAAAAAAGTGATGATAGTACCAAACACCCAAAAGAAGTTAGAACTCACAAATTTGCATGGACAGTGTTTTTCATTCCAGAGGTCATCATCCTGTTCCAGGAAGGAGGAAGAGGCGTGTATGTGAGAGAGAGAGGGAGTGTGTGTCTGCATTTTTTTTCCTACCTACAGGGTGCTATCAAGTATTTGGAAGGCTATATATGTCTGTGAAACGGTAATAAAGGAGATATGGTAAACTGCTTATTATTCTACAACTCAGACAAGATTAAGCATTTAAAGCTTTATTAGTTTTTCATCTTGGTTTTGGTCTGGAAATGAATTACAGTAAATGTACCACAGTTAATGTTAAACTCTAGCAACCTAGCCATCATTATCTTAATTATAACAGAAGGTAATGTTTTTACTTGTAGGATTACAAGACAAGAGATGTGACTGGTGATGTGAAAAATATTATAAGATTTGTTCAAGAATATAGTTCATCTCAAAGAATGAAAAATGTAAAGCATGTAGGTCCCTCTGGAAGATTTACTATGAACATGCTGGTTGACATTTTCTTGGGTAAGTCATCTGTGTTATTATTTGAGTTATATTAATTGAAATTAAATATCTGAAGAATTACAAGTACATAAAAAAATCTATCTGTTTTCTTATAGAATTTAAGAATTTCCAAATGAAACTTTTTTTTTAGTACTGGGAATTAAATCTAGTACCTTTGCACTGAGCTACATTCCCAGCTCTTTTTTATTTTCAGACAAAAAAAATTTTTTTAATGAATTACGTTTTTTTGTGGGCTTTGTGTTTGTTTTGTGTGTGTGTGTGTGTGTGTGTGTGTGTTTTCATGGTACTGAGGATTGAACCCAGAGCCTTCATATTGAACTGAGTCCCTAGCCCTTTTTTAATTTTTTATTTCAAGACAGGGTCTCATTAAGTTGCCCAGGCAAAGTTAGAACTTGTGATCTTCCTGCTTCAGCCTCCCAGAGTGCTGGGATTACAGGAGTGTGTTACCATGCCTACCATACAAATTATTTTATATAATTTATATAAGTCACCAAAATGAGAGGAGTTCTTATATAGGAGAAATAATCATAAAGCCTCTGCACATTTATCTGAGTGAGCCGGTGTAACCTGCCCCAGCCCAGGAGGCAGCCTGAGCTTAAGTGTCTTCTCTTTGCTTGAGGTCCTATTAAAATGGTAGGAGCGAGCCCAGCATTGTGCCCACCTGTAATCCCAGCACTCCAGGCCAGCCTGGACTACACGCCACGACCCTGTCTCAAAAGCGGGGGGGTGGGGTGGGGGTGGGACTTGTGGAAATACAGTTGACTTTTAGGAAAGATAAATGGGTCCTTAGGAGACTAGATGGGCAACACTGGGTAGTCTTTGTGACAAGTCTGTTTACGTGTGATGTAGAGACCTCTCCCATAAGCTCAGCCTTCCCTGATTTTTCCCAGGGATGGAATTGATGGCTTGAATTCTTTGAGGGAGGCTCTGCTTTTTGGCAGATGAAAGATTGCAAGAGCTCACATCCCTTCTTCTCAAAATAATTTGATGCCATGGTAGCATATTCTGGACCCCATCAGGGATAGTCCTCAAAGCTTTGGAAAGAAAAAACAAGAACTAAAACCAGCCTGGCATCAGACTGATTTCAGCACCCCTGGAGACAGGGAGGCCAGGAAAGGGAATGCACAGTAAGCAGAGGCGCTGTCCACCCCAGCCACATTGTGCAGACTCTTAACAGAAAGTCAAGAACGGTACCTACCAGTAGATAGAAAGAGTAAGAAACAAATTTTATGTTGATAATAACAGATGTGACTTCTCAACCGAAAAAGAAGAAAGAGACTTAGAAACTCCAGGGGACAGATTAACCATGATTACAGGACAGGACAAGAGATAAATGCTATCTTGATGATATAAAAATAAAAGTACAGTAAATAAAAATACAAGCAGTATAGGAGGGCCTTGAATGTTCATCACCACTCACATAGTGGGGGAGTGCTCAGGCGTTCTCTTTAAAGGCATAAAAATAATCCGTAGATGAACCAATAGTATATAACAAGCACAGTTGAGGAAGTGGGTGAGGGGGATTCATGTCAGGTGGCCCTGGCTGGTGGGAGACTGAGGTTTCAGGTTCTGTGTAGAGATCATTACCAGAAGAGCTGAAAATAAAAACTTTAAAAGTAACTGCTGAAGGGCTGGGGATTTGGCTCAGTGGTTCCACCGCCTGCCTCAAAAGTGCAAGGTCCCCAGTTCAATCCCCGATTCCAAAAAAAAAAGTTTGGGCCGCGGATTCAGCTCAGTGGCACTGTGCCTGCCTCACAAGCGCAAGGTCCTGAGTTCAATCCCTGGCACAAAAAAAAAAAAAAAAAATGACTGCTAGGCTGAGGGTGCAGCTCATGGTAGGAGCTTGCCTAGCATGTTCAAGACTCTGGTCTCCATCCCCAGCACTGCAAGTAAAAATTAAAAATAAATAAAAATAAAAAATGATTTCCTTGGAGAAAAGAGCGAGGCTGGGCAGAGAAAGTGTAGGATAGAGGAATGTTGCTTTTAATGATGAACCCTTCATACACTATTTCCCCCCATGTACATGTATTGTTTTCCTTAAAGTATATAAGGCAATTAATAGTTTCATTCATTTAAAAGAATAATAGCCTAGACTGGAGTAAGAAGGTAGTTTGCTCAGTTTCTCAGACTGACCTATTGCTTTGTATTAGAATATATAGAAAGCCAAAAATTACGTATACTCCAAAAAAGACTACTGTGCTTCCCCAGTCAGGTACTTATCATATTGCATTTGTAATTCACATCATTCTATATGACAAGATATAAACATTTTCTTAATTTGAAGTACTTACATTTAGGACATATTTTTCTACTATAAAAATGCTGTGATAAATAGCCTTTTAAACAAACCTTTGGCTGGGCCAGGGATTTAGCTCAGTGGTTCCGCCGCCTGCCTTGCAAGCGCAAGGACCCGAGTTTGATCCCCAGTACCAAAAAAAAAAACAAAAACAAACCTTTGGCTATAGCTCTGATTATTCCTTTCATCTAGATTCCTAGATCTAGTTTTCTCACACATCATCAATTTCTCCTGAACTCTCAAGTGTTTAAAGAAACTGTTTCTTTTTTTTTTTTTTTTTTTTAAGAAACTGTTTCTGTTCATCTAGCTTTCTTAGTTGTCCTCCACAGTAGGGTGGTTCCACATCCCGAACCTACCGTGACCAGAGCAGTAGCCTTGATTGTGTAGTGCTCAGGAATACAGATCACTTGTGGAAAGAAAATGCTTCGATAACTCACCGTAGCTATCCAAAGGCCATCTGAAATTTGCAATAATGTGATGATTTGGAACTCTTTAAAGTTAAGGCTTTCCAAAGTAACTGTTAATTCTGATTATTATCAATGTCACAGCTTTTTTTTTTTTTTGGTACCAGGGATCGAACTCGGGACCTTGCACTTATGAGACAGGTGCTGGAACCACTGAGCTAAATCCCTGGCCCAAATGTCACAGCTTTTTAGAGTAGATTATAATAGTGAAGTTGTGTTCAGGATGGAGACATTAGTAATTACAGTGTCTTAAATGTGAGGCAAACTAGTGGGTACTGCCAGCTGGCCAGAGAGAGGGGCAGTGTTCACTTTCCTGTCCTTGGCTCCCACCTTGACCATCTGGACAAGCGTTGCTCTTTGATTTGGGTGTTTGTATGGGCTTCCTTAGGGAGGGTGACAAAATGTACACACTTAAATACTTGGGTCATAAACCAGAAGCAGTTTTAATAACTAGGACCAGAAATTGTACTTATCAAAGGTGATTGTCAGTCGCTGGGACTGTAGCTCAGTGGTAAAGCACTTGTCTAGCTTGTACAACGCCCTGGGTTTTATCACTAGCACTGCAAAAAAATTTTTTTAATTGATTGTCCGAAATTTTTTGTGAATTCATCAGTAATGTACAATTACCCTAATGTAGCACAGTAGTATGAAGCTATTGCCACTTATATAGACTTTCTTTGATTTCTTTGCTCTAATGTTGCCTTTACAGCTTATAAAATTATATTAGAGCAAAGAAATCAAAGAAAATTTTATAAAAATAGCAGTAGCTTCATATTTTGAAAGATAAACTTAATTTGGTCACGTGTGTATTACAAAAAGATCAGGAGCAGGTGCAGATATAGTTCAGTGGTAGAGAACTTGCCTAGCATGTGTGAGCCCCTGGATTCCATCTCCAGCACCAAAAGAAAGAAAAAGAACAAACAACTGAGCTTGGGATGTGTAGCTCGGTGGTAAAGTGGGAGCTAAGCATGTCCAAGGCCCTGATTTGGAAGAAAAAGTACATGCAACCACGGAAATTTTAGAATTCTACTCACATCTTCTTCTCATTATACGAAATGAGTCTATTTGAGAGTCTGTTTGTGCCGTGGGTTTTCCTGTGGAATAGATGATCTATTTTTTGTCCAAACATGCCCATGAGTGACTTTTTAGCCTCTTGTACATGAGAGTGACAGTGTCCCTAATTGTACTCACTTAACCTTTTGTTCCTTCCTAGGGAGTAAGAGTGCAAAAGTTCAGTCAGGTATATTTGGAAAGGGATCTGCTTATTCACGACACAATGCTGAAAGACTTTTTAAAAAGCTAATACTTGACAAGATTTTGGATGAAGATCTATATATCAATGCCAATGACCAAGCAATTGCCTATGTGATGCTGGGAACTAAAGCTCAAGCAGTACTAAATGGGCATTTAAAGGTATGGTATTTTAAATGTTTATTTTTATTATCTCACAATCAATGGACGAAAATATATTACTGCAAAGTACAAAGCTTACAGATTGTGAATTTATATATATGTACTGTCCTATAAGAACATACTCTGACCTTTTAATTAGAAAGAGATCTTAAAATTGAAAGCAAGTAGTTTAACATATGAAAAAATCAATTTATGGGTTATCAGGTCACTAAATCTTCAGATATTCATTAAATGAGCATTTATCAAGAGGCTATGCAGTGCAAGACTATGGAGATAGAAAGATGAAGAATGTATAGCCTCTTAACAAGAGGCTTGCTAGGTACTTGGTAGAACAGAAAAAATAATAACAAATGCAGTTGAGCATCTCGTAGAGCTATTGATGGGTGTAAGTATGCATCTCCCCATGCCTATGACTTCTCTCTCACACAAGGTAGACTTTATGGAAACAGAAAATTCCAGCAGCATGAAGAAACAAAAAGCTTTAGAGGCAAAAGTATCTCAGCGGGAACAGATGGTTAAGAAATGCCTTGGAGAACTTACACAGGTCTGCAAATCTCTGGGGAAAGTTTTTGGTGTCCATTACTTCAATATCTTTAATACCGCCACACTCAAGAAGCTCGCAGGTAGGGACACGTGCGCCTTCTGTTACACAGCAGTCAGTGTGCTAGAAGTTTGTCTTGCTGAGGGGCTTTCTAAGTGATATCTAACCTCTGTATTGAAAGGTCATAGAAGCCATTTATACTCTTTTTTTTTTTTTTTTTTTTGTACCAGGGATCAAACTCAGGTCCTTGCACTTGCAAGGCAGGCACAGTGCCGCTGAGCTAAATCCCCAGCCCTATACTCATTTCTGAGATAAAATATAATTCTTTAAGATATATGCAGTTTGGGGCTGGGGATTTAGCTCAATGGTTTCGCCGCCTGCTGCGCAAGCACAAGGACCTGAGTTCGATTCCCGGTACCAAAACAAACAAAAAAAAGATATATGCAGTTTTGGATATATGGTATAATTTTAATTTTATACTTTTCCTCTAAAACTGCATACTAGGATATGGAAAATTGTAATCTGTAAAACCAGATGTCAATTATTTGTGCTGATTATTTGCCTGCCTTACCGTGATCACTTACATTTTTGTACAAATGCCTTTACAATGAAGGGCGAAGTTCCTTAGGAAAGCGGGTTGTGTTTTCTTCTTTGAATCTGGATCTAGCATATTGCTGTCTTTCATTAGGAAATAATTTGCTGATGGCTATTTCCATGGATTGAGATAGTTCAATGCAGAATTTCAGTAGTAAAGACTCTGGAAAATAAATTGTTCACATAATCATCTGATGTGTATCACCTTCTGTGTTCTTCCTTCATAAAGTCTCATAATCATGAACCAGGCATGGTGGTGCATACCTGTCATCCCAGTACTCACAAGGCTGAGGCAGCAGGATCACCAGTTTGAGGCCGGCCTGGTCTATATGGCAAGTTCAAGGCCAGCCTGGACTACATAGTGAGACATTGTCTCAAAAAACAAAACAAGGATCCGAGGATTTAGCTCAGTGGTGCCGCTGCCTGCTCACAAGCGCAAGGTCCTGAGTTCCGTCCCCAGTACCAAAAAAAAAAATCTCATACTTTTTGAGATTCTATTCTATTTTCTATTCCCATTCCTACCACCAAATCACTTTTTGAGTCAGTTGTCTGTGTCTTTGTTTTTCCTTGTATCGTCACTAAAATGCCCATTCTACTTGGTGGTCTTTTTTGTGTGTCTTTTTGTTTTGTTTATTTGATTGGTTTATTTTGGTTGTATTTGTTTGTTATTTTGCATTCTTGTGGTGCTAAGGCTTGAGCCCAGGGCCTGGTGCACCCTGAGCATACACCCTGCCATCCTTCTCTTTGAATGGTGGTGCTTTCCTGATGGCACCAGAAGGTGTCAACAGAAGGTTGCCCATCTCTCAGTGACAAAAATGTAGTCCTGCTTTATCTACTCAGGGCATCTTTTTTTAGGTCATGTAAAACATTTGGCTGTTGCATGCAAGAAACTATGAAATTGTGGTCATTTCCTCAAAGACAGAGGGTACTTGAGTAGTGCCAAATGTATTCCCCATTGCCGTGCCTCAGCTTTTCTGCATAACACTAATCATGGTACAGTTCAGAAGACATTTCATGTGGCAGTCAAACTCACCATATGAGGTACCAGCAATGCAGTGGCCCTGTTGACCTGTGGCAGTATTACTAGCCTTGACTAAGTACCCATACTTGTGGGCAGTAACAGCACAGTACCACTGCCATTTGGCCTTCAGCAGTTATAAGACACATCTTGGATTCAAGAATCCTAATGGGAAAAAGAATGAGACTTAGAATCAATGAAAAACAGTATTTTTCCTGGGCTATTAATGCAGTTTCCTACCTGATCTCCTTACATTCCAGTATGGACATGATGTATATTTTAATCTTGCTAAAATCATTAAAACTACAGCAGCTCTCTAGATAAAATATAAATTCTATTAGGGCCCTACATTTCTGCTCATCTCTTCCATTTCATCTTCTACTCACCCCTCTCATAGCCCTTCTGTTCTGTCCCACAGTCTATCACTTTTCTCTAAACATAGGAGCAATATGAAAATCACAGATTGGAAAGGATCTGAAATCCAATCCACTCTTTGCTCAAGTCAGATACTAGGAATTATTACTCGCTTATTCTCCATTGTCAGTGTGTCAATAAATCCTACACACCCAGCTCCAAAACTTAGCCACACCTCTCCTTCCTCCCTCATTTGTTCCATCCTTGCTTGGTCCTGCAGTGGCCTGCCCCGGGCTCCCAGTTTCCACTCTTCCCTCACACTCCATTTTTCCACACCGAAGCCTGAGGAACCTTTAAAATGACAAGCTTGTCCAACTGCAAGACGGATGTGCCTGCCATCTCTGCAGAGGACTCAAAGCTGCCTGCTCCTTATTCCACAACCCGAGGAAAGACTGGGGGAGGGACAGTTGGGCTGGGGGCAGCAGTCATGTGCTTTTGCCTCCTCGGGTGGGCTGTGCGAGTCTGGAGTGTGGAAGAGGTCAGAGCTGGAAATAGAAATGTGGGTGTTCTCAGCAAATAGAGGGGACATTAGTCTTCCAGCTACCAAGTCTTGGCGTGGGGGAAGTGGGCAAGGGCAGAGTCTGAGCACCCACACAAGCCCCACCCTGACATACACACCCACACACACTGCTGCTGGCTGCCCTGGCTTCTGCATCGTTGCTGCTAGAACTGGATGATGGGCTTCTGCCCTCTGGGCCAGTCTGCTACCTCTGCTGTACTGACTTTGCCTTTTAAAGTATCAGCCCCTGTGCCCAGTGCCTGAGTTAGCTGGCACTTAACAAACATAAACTGAATGAGTGAATGAGCACGAATTCAGTGGGTTTTCTATGGGTGGTAATTTAAATTCCTAATTTTATGCCCATGCACAGAATCTTTATCGTCTGATCCTGAGGTTTTGCTTCAAATTGATGGTGTTACTGAAGACAAGCTGGAAAAATACGGTGCAGAAGTGATTCCAATACTACAGAAATACTCTGAGTGGACACTGCCAGGTTCAGTATCCATCCTGTTTGAATGTCAAACACTGCATCTCTCCAGATTAGAATTATGAGGTTTCTGGGTTGTGTTAATGCTGCGTTCACCTTGTCACACTGAAGTTGAAATCCTCAGAGGAGCCCCAGTAGTGAATAGGCACCTCTGAGAGGACACTGGCATTTGGGTTTCCAGAAAAGACCGTTATTAAATCCATTGATAAGGCCCAAGTGGGGACTTGTGAGCCCAGGCACGGCTACTTCCGCTGAGGCCACTGCCCAAGGAGTTGGGAGCCCTGGGAACTATCTCAGATCTGCCACCATCTCACCTTTTGATCACAGCAGCCTTTCTGTGCTTCTGGGTCCTTATCAGAGGAAGGAACATGTTATCTAACAATCATGTCTAAAGATAAAATTGAAGAGTAAAATTTAAATGTTTTGGAAGAGTGAGCATTGATTGAATCATGTATACCATTGCGGTTAGTCATTTCAAGAACACATTGCCAGCAGACTTACCTCAAGGTCATTCTAGGCCTGTGCTATAGCTTCAAATGAGCTTCATCAATGGGCTGAGAGAAGTATTTGGTTGTAGGCCTTGGTCTCCCTCCACTAACATATTGCCGTGTGGTAAGACCCTGCAGACCAGCCAGGTCCAGCATTTTCCTGTTTCTGTAGTGGGCTGAGGAAGGGCAGCCTTCTCCAGGCCAGTGCCAATGGTAAGCAGGATGAGAAATAAGTGAGTACATCTTTCAAGCTCTCTTCCCACAGGTTTCTGTCCATTAGCAACGTGCTGAAAAGTAGGATTTTCATAGATTCCATTACATGGCAATTACTCCATTAAAAGCCATGTTCTGGATACCTTCGAGATTCTCTTGGTAGGAACTTAACATTTGTTCCATATGGTAAGTGGTCTGGAAGGGGCTTTTGCAACATAAGACGAGGCTGCTCTGGGAAAACAGTGGGCAGCATGGTGGTGGTCATTGCCCTCGAGGGCATTGTGCACACTGTTGTACCACCCCATCTTCACAATACCAGCTTTATACCTGCTTTACAGGTGAGGAGGAGGTGGCTTGCTGTTTTCCCAGAGTCACACAGCTAGGAGGCCAGGGCTCTTAGCCCTGGAGCTGCAGTCCCTCCCCATGTGACCAGGGTTAGAAAGTGCCATGGTAGAATCTGGACCCCTCCACACCATCCACCAGGCAGTAGGGGTGCCCCAGAGATTGTACCAGACTAGCAGGAAATGGAGCTGAGGTCACTGGGTGACCTGGAAGGAAATGTCTTGCTTTTGGGTTGCTTTGCGATGAAAATCCTTATGGAAATTACCATCTTCTTTGCAAATGTGTGCTTTCTTACAGGCCCATTCCCTGCATAATATGTGAAATGTTCACAACACTTATGCAAAGATGTGGCTTTTGTCTTTGAAGAGTAAAATATGGTTTGGAATTTTCTGGTGCCCATTTTATTAAGAATCCATTAGTTCAAAGATCAGGCAGATATTATTTCCCTTATATTGCACTCTTTGAGCATGTTTTCAATGATAAATTATTTCCTAATATTTGTGTAGCACCCTGTATTTTTCAAACTGCTTACTATGATTTACTGTCCAGTAAGTGACAAGAATGCAAGTCAGGCTTAGAGTTTGACCAAGTCTTGGGTCTCTAGTTTAAAGACTATCACACATTTTATAAATAATAAATTGTGGTTCCCTTTCATTAAAAAAACAAAAAATTGGCATTGAACACATTGGAGTTTTGTGAAATGGTAAATGTTTGGTTCCTGCTGAACTGTTGAATCTGAGTGGCAGGGAAGCACCAGGCAGACAGTGGGTACTGACCAAACTGGGCCACCGAGCCGTGTGTCTTCAGAGATACAGGACAGACTCATGGAAAGCCCATTGTCACTGGTAAAAGTCTGCATCTCCCTTTTACAGCTGAGGAGGTTTCTTTAGGGATTGGCACCAGAGGCCCTGGGAGGAACGCCCCTGAAGAGCCGGAGGAGGAGATACCTGTGTCTTCCCATTACTTTGCAAATAGAGCCAGAAATGAAAGAAAGAGGAAGATGCCAGCCACCCAGAGGTCTAAGAGGAGAAAAACTAGTTTTGGTGGCTTCAAAGCCAAGGGGTATGTTCCTTGACGTCTTTGCCACATAGGGTCTCAGGGAAAAAACAACAAAAGTATGCATAATTGCTCTGGTTTGCTTTGAAGCATTTACTAAAATTAGCCATTATTCAATATTGCCTCAGCATTTAATAGACTGATAATTAAGGACTGACAACAGAAACATTGCTTCAGTATTGTTTTGTTTGACTTGGTTTGGTTTTTGGTTTTTGGTTTGGTTTTTTGGTTTTGGTTTTTTAGGGTACTAGGGATCGAACTTGGATCCTTGCACTTTCGCAGCAGGCGGCAAAACCACTGAGCTAAATCCCTGGCCTGTTTTTGGTTTTTTGAGACAGGGTCTCACTATGTAATACAGGCTGGCCCTGAACTCACTGTGTAGCCCAGGCTGTCCTCAAACTCATGGTGATCCTCCTGCCTCAGCCTCCCAGTGCAGAACTACAGGAGTACACCACCATGCCCAGTCCTGCTTCAGATTTTTTAAATACTTATTCCTAAGCTGATTATGACTGTAGTTTTCTAGTTTGTAAAAATTTCTCCAATTTTAACTTTACCGTAGAAATTTTTTTTGTTTTTAGATAACTCCTCTTCCCCAGAAAACTTTCCATGAAAAATACTATAAATCATTTACTAGCTGAATAAGTAACAAAGGGTTTTGTGTCTTCCTGGGTTTTGGGATTCTGCCAGTACTTGCTACACTACTTTTATGACTGCAGAATTCTGTGATGCTCCACCTGGAGGCACTTTGCCCTCCGTGCCATTCACTAATACACGAGAGACTCAACTTGCAGGGGTAGCAAAGAAGAGGCCACAAAAGGGACACCAAAAGGCCAGGTGGACCTGGCTCTTTCTGAGACCTCAGGAGGTCAGGCATGGCAGGAACATGTGGCTATAGACATACTTAGCCTCTTTGGGGGCCGCAGAAATGGTTCCTCTTCCCTTTCCCACATTGCTTGGCCTCTGGGCTAGGCCGTGTCTATTCTGGGGTGCTCTCTGGGGGAAGAGCAGAGGTGGCATGGTCACATCCTGGTGGCAGGCCTTTCCTTCATAATTGGATTGTGGCTGACAGCCCTTCTCACCCAACTTCTGCTAGGGCACACACCCACAGGCGCCCCTACACCCCTTCAGCCTTGCAGGTAAGCCCTAGCAGGATGGAGACCATCCCTGAAGTCTGAAGAATGTAGCCCCAAAATAACTGCAGATTGTGACAGAATTGCTTGCAGAAATAAGGAAACAAGTCTGCAGTCAACTTTTGCAAGCTGTTGTGTTTGCTTTTGCAGTTTTTCTACCTTTTTTCCTTCTGGGTAATAAAAAACAAAAATTGAGTGAGGGAAGAGAAAGGAAGGCAAATGTTACTGAATTTTCATTTCTTATTAAATCTATAAACAAACATCTTGTATGTGCTAATCCTTCTGCCAGAGTACAGAAATTAAGGGCATTCTAAATGTTAGTTTAATTTGTGGTTTTTAGTGCACAAGTGACCGGCAGATGCTCTTCAGTGAGGACATTTTCTTCTTTCCTTCGTTTATTTCTCCGCCTTGGGAAATACTTACTTCCTCAGTGGCTCACAGGAGCAGGAGACCTTGCAAGGCATCTGCACCAGCTCCCTCAGGCCTGTGCCTGGCCTGGCTTGGCAAGGGCCTGGCCTGGCGGCTGTGGCCTGGTCTCTATTTCAGAGGTGGGTCTGCAGGCTGCCTACCCACGCACGCCCGTCTGGAGCGCTTTCATTTATGCATGTCGTCTTCAAAGTGTGCATGGTCTCTTGTCTCATTTTTACTCATTAGAACAACACGAACCATGTGACAGTGCTTGCCAACCTTGGCTCCCTTATTTGATTTTCATAGTGTGTTTGTGAGAGCAGAATGTCTCTGCTGCATCACCTAGAGCCCAGTTTCGTAAAAAGTAGTAAAACTCAACCTTGTCCATGAGCCAGGCCCAGTCCCCACTCTCCTTTCAGTTGCCTGTGTGTTTGAGATGGGATTCCTGTCTAGTCCCCACTAGCTAACACCACTGCCATTTGTCGAGTTTTTACTGTGCAGCAGCCTCTGTGTATGCGCTTCATTCTGCCTGTTCCCACTGGCCCCCGGTAGATGGCTTTCTGGTCCCCAGCCCGCTCACCTGGTCATCCCTGTGCAGGGACAGAATGAGTGTGGCCCCCAGCCAGAGACCTTCACTCTACCCTGCCCCGGGTCTGCAGCTCAGGCAGCACACAATGAGCTGCTTGTGCCGACTGCGGTTGGAGTGAAATGGATGGCCCAGTGGTGAAATGGAGCCTGCTGTTGGCAGATTCATTCTGTAAATCAACATAAGCAGCAGGTTTTTCCTTGGGGCTTAATTTCTCAGCAGGAAATCATCATGGCAAACTTCAGGCTGCTTCTCTGCCACTTGGGCAGATCTCTGCCAGATCTGCAGTAAAATTGCCCTCCAACAAGAGTTTTAAAATACTGGAAAAACCACTCTTCACTCAGCACCCCCAGAATGTTATTATCCAGGGACTGTGGCACTGTTTCGCTGGACCCCAAATCAGAGCTAGGAGGCCACTCAGCAGCCCTGGTGCTGTGGGGTTACTGGGGTTCAGCCAGCAGAAAGGCTCCCTGTAGGTAATGCCGGCCCAGCAGTTATGTTTTGTTTTATTTGTAGTGGAGAAAGCTGTTATCCTCAGGTCAGCAAGCCAAGTGATGTGCAGGAAGGACTTTGTCCTGGGCTGTGAAGGGGCTTTCTTCCTGGTTTTAAAAGACAGTAAGTGACCAGGCATAGTGGCACATGCCTGTAATCCCAGCTACTCAGGAGGCTAAGGTAGGATCATGAGCTTAAGGCCAACCTGGCCAACTTACTAAGAACCTGTCTCAACATAAAAAGGTCTGGGAATATAGCTCAGTGGTAGAACACCCCTGAGTTCACCTCCAGTACCACACACGCATACACACAAAGGCAGTGAGTGGGAGGGCAGAGCTGTTTGGATGTAGGTGAGGGAGCTGCCAGCTACGTGACCCTATCAGAGATGTTCCAGACCAGGGCATGAGGCAGCACCTGGGCCTCCCCAGGGAGCCACATCTGCAGCCTCCCCTGGGCCGGGCCTGGGATGGGCAGAGGCTCTGCTCCTTGTGGCCACCCAGCCAAGATCAGAGCCCTGCTCTCCCCATTGCTACTTGCCCACGGAGCTGCCTTGCTTGACATTGCAAGTACAGCACTTCCGGGGTGTCTCTTGGCCGGGGATTTGGGTGTTTCCTCTTCCTTCATTTGGCTGGAATAGATTGGGATATGTAGAATTCAGCTGATTGTAGGCTGTGGAGCATGTGGGTGTGGGGACAGTCTGTGGACTGGTCACAAGTCACAGAATTAATCCTTGACATTTCAGAAAGACAAGCTCGGGATAAATTTGTGTGATGGGCAGTGTCCCTTTATTCTTTGGGTAAAAAAGGAAATTTACCTTAGTGGGTGGGGATGGAGGGAGATACAGGCAGAAAATGCACATCTGTGAAACCAAAGGAATTATGGATTGTAGCTCCAGTGGGTTAAGAGAAAGAAGACCCTTGGCTTTTATTTTTATTTACCATTTTAATTTTCTTCTCTTTGTCACATTTAGGGCATCTACCACATGCAGAAGGATGTCTTCTAAAAGTAAATTCTCCAACACAATTGGATCCAGCTCAGCCTTGCATAGCTCTCAAGCAACATCAGGAGCTAGTAGAAAATTGGGGATTATGGCACCACCAAAGCCTATAAATAGACCATTTCTTAGGCCTTCGTATGCATTTTCATAACAACCCAATCCCAGTGTACGTAGATCTTTGTTGTCTGTCAGCGTCTGACCATCTGTGACTACAGAGCTGCTAGTCTTATTACACCATTTGAAATTTTTACACATACCTATTAATATTTAAATAAATGCTTGGGGTTCTAGTTCTTATTGTTAAAATAAACAATTTGTTTTGAATAGCATGTTTTGCTGCCACCACAAGCATTGTGGCTGTTTCTCAGAAAGTCTGAAGCAGCAGTTGAATCATGTCTCAGAGAGAAACTGTAAGCATAACATGAAAGCCAGAAGGCAAAGACAAATATGCATGGGACGTTGTGAATCTAAGCTTCTTGTATAAGACACCACCAACAGAAGTAAGACAAATGCCAGAGAAAAGAAAAGAGGTACTAGCCAGCTGTGGTGCCACGCACCTGTTATCAGCACTCAGGAGGCTCAAGCAGGAGGATCGCTGCCAGTTCCAGGCCAGCCTGGGCTACATAGTGAGACGCTGTCTCAAAAAAAAATTTTTTTAAGAGAGATGATGTACTACAAAGGATTAATCTCTACAGTATACAGAGATTATAAATCATTAAGGAAAAGCCAGCATAGAAGACAACTGAACAAAGAATGTGAATAGAAGAAATACAAATAACTGGCCGGGAATGTAGCTCAGTGTACCTGCCTGGCAAGCACAGGGTCCTGAGTTTGATTCCTGGTACCAGAAAAAATAAAAATAAAAACCACAAATAGATGAAAAATACTCAATCTTCTAATTAAAAATATAAATTAAAACCATAAGGTGCATTCTTTTGCCTGTCAGATTGTCAACACTGCCTTGGCACAGTGTAATCCCAGATCCTCAGGAGGCTGAGGTAGGAGATTCACTTGAGCCTAGAAGTTCAAAGCCAAGCAGAGCAACGCAGGCCCCATCACTTAAAAAACCACTGCAGGGTGTAGTGGCACATGTCTATAATCCCAGCATTCAAGAGGCTGAGGCAGGAGGATTGTCACAAGTTTGGGGCCAACCTGGGCTACATAGTGAGTTCAAGGCTACCCCAAACTACATAGTGAGACCCTGTCTCAAAAACAAACTCACCACTGGAGAAAATGGTCAAATAGATTCTTTTAGCAAGACTATATCAAATATTAACATATCTCTTGGTTTGCCCTCTGTTAGGTGTCTCACCCCTGATCTCAGGAGGGAGGCCTTGCCTGGGCTACAGGTGTTGGGGTGGTTGGTCAGAGCCTGAGCCACCCGTGGGGCTTCTGGACTGAGGTGGACCCACACCCACAGAGGAGCCATCTGCTTCCCATCTCCTCAGCTGCCACGAGAGGCTTTCAGCTGTCACACAGGGGATTGGGCAGGTGAGTTTGCTGAGGGTAGAGAACCTTCCTTCAAGGTGCCTTCTGGAACAGACCAGCACTGCCACCTGAGGCTGGAAGGGCCTTGGGGGAGGGAATGGAGGACCAGGGAGCTGGGCAGTTGAGGCCTAGGATCAGGTCTCAGCACAAGGTCACCCTGGAGCATTACCCATCCAACAAGACACAGGCAGGGGCTGTCTTCCCTCTGCCACTGCAGCGTGGGTCTCAGGTGAGGGCTCTCATTTCCTGCGTGCCTCTGCATGCCACCGGACACACAGCCTCGCCTCTTGGGAATACATGCCCTGCCATGCTGCTGGTTCAATGGGGGACTCTTGAAGGGTGGTTGCACAGAACTGTGTGCAGGGCCAGCAGCCCACAGACAACCACAACCTCTAGGACGTGTGGCTTGCCAGGTTGCACACCCAGCTGGACCAGGTTCCGATCAGTTCCTCTGCCCTGCCCCTGGAGCAGACACACAGAGTGCACCCTCTTCTTGCTGCTGCTCGGCCTCCAGCCTTCCCAACAACCAGAACAGGGGCAGACAGGCAAGCAGGCAGGAGTGGTGACAGCGGAGCTACCCCAACAGGGACCCCAGGACACAGAGATCATCGTGTCCTAAGCTGGCCCACCTTCTGGGCACAGGGAGGCCTGCTTCTACTTTCCCCATCGCCCCTCCGGCCTTGCATTCTAGAGCTGACGGGTCCTTGCTCGCCTCCAGGGACAGGTAGCTCAGGACCTCAGAACAAGCCCCTAGTGCCTCAGCTGTGCCAAGGGAAGCCCAGGACTGCTCAGCTCATCTAGTCCTGCCCGGTACCCTGCATCCACCTAGGAGGCAGGCGCACTCTGTAGTAACCTTTTTTATGCCTAAAGCAAAATTCTGAGAAGTTATGAAACTCACCCAAACCTACACAGTGAAGAAGTGGCAATAAGTAGGGTAACCCATGGCTCACTTCGCTCTGAAGAGTCCCAGTTTACATCTGTTGTCCTGGTGTCTTAATTAACACAGCTCCCTTTCATTTGCAAAAGGGTTCCACCAAATTAGGTGGAATCCAGGTCTGTGCTCACAAGCATATGTGCTCTTTCCCAAGAAAATCCAGGCTCTCTCCCAGCCTCATTTTCCATAGCCTCAGGAGCCACCTGCTCTGACCTGCTCTGCTCAAAACCACAGGCTCCAGGGACTGGCTGCAGACGAGACAGATCCCATGGCTGAGTGTGGCTCCTCTGCAACAGAGGAAGCAAGGCTGTGGTCTCCTGGAGCCTCTCCCTGATTTATCTCACCCCACTGTCCTGTCCTTCCTCAGGAACTACCCCAGGCTCTGAGCAGTGGCCTTGGGGTCATGATGAGGGAGCAGCCTGAGCCTTACGCAGACCTGGGTGCCAGCAGGGTGGAACCCTTGGGGCTGGCAGCCTCCCCCTCCTTGCAGCTGCCTCAGCCCCCAAGTGGCCTGGCAGCTGGGGCGGGGGGCCATGCTCAGGGTACCCAACAAGGACAGCATTGGACAGTGCAGGGGGTGGGCACCAGAAGCTAGAACTTCAGTCTGTAAGGCCTGGGCAGGGCTGAGGCTAGGTCCCCACAACAGCCAGGTGTGAAGGACAGATTTGTGAAGGTACCAGGATAGCACTCTGATGGCCCTGAGGCTGAGAGCTACTCAGGGTAGGAGTCTACCCCTGAGGGCCTCTGTCCCCAAGGGTCCCACACATAGCCTGCCTTGCACATGGCTGCAGGCACAGGCCTGGCCCCGTCCCTCCTGGCCAGGAGCTGAGGCCCCAGGAAGGTCAGGCCTGGGCCTGTGACCAGGGAAGAAGCCCTTGGTAGGGTGAGGTGCACGGGGAAATCCTGACTGGTGGCTCCTTACCACCTGCCGGGTGCCTGCAGGCCTCCACTGAGAGACTGATGTCCCAGCCAGGAAGGAAAGACATTGGAGACCAGAGAGACCCTAGGACCTGTGGCCAGAGCCCTGCTCAGACCCCTTGGGCTTCACCCTGGCAGGGCCCAGAGCCACCCATAAGGGGAGAGGTGGTGCCACAGTAAAATCACACTGGAACGCAGGGTCTGCCATGTCTGTGCTGAGCAGCTGGCAGGTGACGGCATCCAAGACACAGGCCCATCATAGGCACCCCACTCAACTGCATGTGAGGACAGGCACCTGCATATCTAGTGATCTCGCCAGGTCCCTGGTGCCCAGCCCAGGGCCAGTCCAGAGTGTGCAGGCCCCTGTCCCCACCTCAGCAGCCTCGAAGCCTCTGAGCCTCCATTTCCTCTCTACACCCCAAGCACTGTACCTGACTACCCCTCCCAAGAACATCGTGTGCATCCTGTTGGTCAGTGCCCACAGGAATCTACCAGCCAGAGCGCAGGCAGTGAAGGGCGCCAGGGAAAGGCGGGGGCAGAGCAGGACTGGGTGCAGGGCTGCCCGGCCAGATGATGCTGAAGAGGATGCATGGGAGGCTGGGCCAGCAAGCCAGGGGTCTCAGTGTCTGGATGTCCGCACTGGGGAACACTGGCCCTTCCTTAGTCCTGTTTCTCCCCCGCACCGTATAATTATAAAGTTTCAAGGAGTTTTTTTACATTATTTTTTATTTAATTGGTACATTTTAGATACACATAATGATAACATTCAACATGGAATTTGTACCTGTACATGATATATCTTGCTGCTTTTTTTCCCATTTCCCTCCCCTCCCTTCTATCTCTCTTCCCCTCCTTATTTACAAAAGCTTTGTTTTCATTTTTTCTATTCTTTTTTTTCTTCTCCCTTCTTTCCTGTATTTGT